TGATAGATTCAAATCTGGAATCTGAAATTTATTTATCATTGTCCAATATATTGTGAATCTGTCCAACATGATGCTCTAAATCTGCAGTAGCTTTATCAAACCTCTCATTCATTTGCGGTTGAGTTTGGTTCATGAATAAAAGGAATGAAAGCACCAATGATAAATTATGCTATGTTAAATTTAGATCTAAATTGCATAAAAAGATAGAAGAAATAAAACAACTTTTTTTCATTACCCCATTTCCCAACAGCACTTAATATATATATATATATATATATATATATATATATATATATATATATATATATATATATATATATATATATATATATATATATATATATATATATATATATATATATATATATATATATATATATATATATATATATATATATATATATATATATATATATATATATATATATATATATATATATATATATATATATATATATATATATATATATATATATATATATATATAGTTTAAACAACACTAATAGACCATGGGCCACTATGAAATAAAAACTTAATAACATAATACTAAATGCACCTCAAGGTCATAATAATTTTTTTAGAAGGACTGATTTCTTTCTCTCTTTAATGGGTCTTTCAAGCTTCTTACCATACTCATACTCTTAACTTCGAGGAATTAATCTGACACCCCCAAATTAAATCCGGCATTTCCAAATTTTTATAATTTCAAAATTGTCTTTAAAAAAATTTGAAACAAATGAAAAAATTTTACATTATCAAAAATTTCAGTAAAAATTGAAAATTTTTAAAAATTTCAAAAATTTCAGTACTGTACCAAAAATTTTGAAATTTATAATAGTGAAAAAATTTTAAAATTTTTGTAATTTTTTTTACAATACCACCAATTGGTGGTACTGTAGCGGAAATTTTAAAATTTTGGGTACATTACCACCAATTTTGAAATTGATGATAGTGTAAAAATAATCATTTTTTTTAGAAATTTTAAAATTTCCAACAAAAAAATAAATTTCTAGTAATTTTTTTTTGAAATTTTCATTTTTTATATAAAATTTTCAAATTTCTGATAAAAAAGAAAAATTTATGAAAATTTCAAAATTTCCAATACTGCACTAGAAATTTTGATAATTTTTGAAATATTTGAAGGATAAAAATAAAATTTTGCCATAATTGAATTGATGTCAAATATAAGTGAGATGGTGGCATGTTAATTCCTCCTTAATTTTCATAATTCTCTTCCATTTATAAACGACCAATAATATCAATCATATTAATTTATCACGAATATATTAATTGTAATATAAATTTTAAAATATTAATTAAAAAATTATATATTATTTGCATGTTATATTTAAAAGAAATTTAATACTGAACTATGAAATTATATTTATTAAATTTTAAAAAAAATTATAACATATTTATTATATAACGTTAATGAAGCTAATAGTTTTGTAATTTTTTAATTTTACAACTTGCATGAGAAAAATGGAATGGTTCATGCACTAAAAAATTACTATATTATAATGTTTTGGTAAATTAATCCCACACCAACAATTTGATGATAATAATAATAATAATAATAATAATAATAATAAAAATAATAATAATAATAATAATAATAATAATAATAATAATAATAATAATAATAATAATAATAATAATAATAATAATAATAATAATAATAATAATAATAATAATAATATAACTCAAAAATATATTTTGAATCTAAAGAAATATATAAAAAAATATTTTTTTTTATTTTTTATTTCTTTTCTATTATAAATTAATTATATAAAAATTGTTTACATTTTTTAATATATTTTTAGTGCACTTTTATTTCATTTTTGTTTTTAAATAAGTAAGTTATTTTTAAAACATATAAATTTATGATATAGATGAGGAAAAAAAAAAGAAAAAAAAATTAGAGTTGAGCAAGAATTAATTTAAGGTTATCTACTTTATCGTAAAAATTGATTTTCTAAATTATATTTAATATATATATATATATATATATATATATATATATATATATATATATATATATATATATATATATATATATATATATATATATATATATATATATATATATATATATATATATATATATATATATATATATATATATATATATATATATATATATATATATATATATATATATATATATATATATATATATATATATATATATATATATATATATATATATATATATATATATATATATATATATATATATATATATATATATATATATATATATATATATATATTAGAATTGAGATTTTTATTTTAAAATTAAAGATTTTTTTTAATAATGATTTTTATCAGGAGATTTTTAGTAGTAGTAATTGAATATTATTATTATTATTATTATTATTATTATTATTATTATTATTATTATTATTATTTATAATAATGGTAGTTGGATATTATTATAATTATTATTATTATTTATTTTAATATAGGGTTTAATTAATAGAAAATAGAATTACAATTTATGGTTAGAATTGTTATTAAGATGACATGTGGTTAGAGTTATCATCGTGACAATTTTTGATTTATAACAAATTCAGTTTTTAACAAAATAACATTTACTTTTTATTTTATTTTTTGTTTATACACTTTTTAGTTTTATTAAATAAATAAAAGCTCAACTCGATAAATTTTACAACAGTATTTTTATTTAACATTTTCTTAACTGAGTGAGTTTTCAAAATGTGGCAGTTGTAAAAAACGATTTTTTTACTAATATGCCACAATCTGAAAATTTATTGACCAAAATGCCACAAGTTAGAAAAAAAAAGCAAATATGCCAATTTTCTAGTAAAGGTTCGTCCATTGGAAGGACGATCCTGTAAAAGTTAATTTCGTCCAGCATGGATTCGGCCATCCATTGGTTGAGCCTTAACTAGCTGGTTTTTTTTTTTGTTTTTTTTTTTCATTTCTGAAATAATTATATATTATAAAATGTTTTAAAATGTTTTTTATATATTAAAATTATTTAAATGATATTTTAAATTAATAAATAAATAATTTAATTATTTTAAATAATTTTTTAATATTAGTAAATATTTTTTAATTAATTGTTTTTTATATATTAAAATTAGTTAAATGATATTTTATATTAATAAATAAATAATTTTGTAATATTATTTAAAATAAAAAATGATAAATAATTATATAAAATAATAAATTATATAATTAATTGTTTAACTAAATAATTATATAAAATAAAAAATTAAATCATAAATAAAGGATATTTTATTAATATTGGTGAGTGGAGAAAATACATCATTTTTATCTACGCAAATGACCGCCAGTTCCACACAATGTACTCTTTTTCACACGTTTCCCCTACCTAACTCTTGAGTTTGCCGTCTTGAAGGTGATGGGGTAGAGTCGGAAGTCAACTCTTCATTTTCAGGTTGATGTGATGTATCAAGCATGTCCACATCAGTAACCGAAAAACCTGGCCATTCCATGAGTTGATCATCAGTTAGAGTAAAGTTAGAGGCTGACTGGAATGGTTGGGTGAAGGTGGTTGGAGGACTTTGTTGGATGGGAGGGTAATAAACATTGTCAGTGTAGGCGGATGAACTTGGTTGAGACATTGAAGGGTTAAATGTTTGGTGTTGTGGTTGGGGGTAAGAGAAATTAAAATTAGGCTGAGGGATCGGAGTAAATTGAAAATAAGGTCGAAATGTGGCTTGTTCCTGATATTGTTGTTGGTAGTAGTAGTTTGTTTGTGGGGTTGGGGTGTACGGTGTTGGTTGTTGAGAGGAGGTGGCAAAGAATGTGGTATGAGTGTGTTGATATGTTGGTTGGGATTGTGGTTGTGTTGGTTGTTGAGAGGAGGTGACAAAGAATGTTGGTTGGGTGAATGAAGATGTCTGTGTTTGAAATTGTGAAGGGTTCACCTGAGGCATTTCTTGAGGCATGGGTGAAGAGGATCTTTGTTGTGATGAAGACGTTGCATACTGACGGGGATCCTCTAGGAACTGACCTTGAGAAGCGTGCATAAATGGAATGGATAAAAACCATTGCATATATGCAGCACTATGAACATAGTTACCGTTAACCATGTTACCTCGTAGGGTCAATTTTTTTCTGTTTCTCCACTCATTATTTTCTTCTTTATTTATATTGCGCCAATGATCTCCCCATGTATTAGACATATCAGTCTCATGTTGTTCACGTAGACATCTAGGCTGAGGAGGGATATCTTGTTGAAATCCAAACTACAATTTGACCCTATCAGCCTGATGCATTTCAACGATATGGAAACTGATAATTGAAGTTGTAGCGCTCCAAATCTGGCTATCTTCAAGGACGCATTTAGAAGTATTAAAATATTGGTTTAGAAGTAGTGATTTTCAAGAATATATGCTGAAGTGGTGATTTTGAAATATTGGTTTAGATTGTATTTATAAGAAAAATGGATACACCCTACTACATAATACACACCAATATCCTTTGGAAATTCACATGCATGCAATACTAGACTGCACCCTATGATTCTTCTACAGCCTTAATTGATTCTTCTGCACCCTAATGTATTAAACCCTAGAAGCATGCAACGACAAGTGGCTAGCATGCAAATTGCCCTCTTTAATGGTTCGCCCTTGTGTTGGCCGAACCCCTACACGTTCCTCATGGGTTCGTCCTTGTGTTGGACGACCCTTAACTAAACATTAATGGGTTTGTCCTTGTGTTGGACGACCCTTAACTATGCATGCGTGGGTTCGTCCTTTGAATGGACGACCCTTAACTTGCTCAGCATGCACACTTCTTCTATATATTTTACATGCAATTGTTGCAGACTACGCATCTGTGTTGGACGACCCTTAACTATGCATGTGTGGGTTCGTCCTTTGAATGGACGACCCTTAACTTGCTCAGCATGCACACTTCTTCTATATATTTTACATGCAATTGTTGCAGACTACACATCTAACTCCCACTCACACACTCACACTGTCAGTATCAAAAAATAAGTCATGGCAGATAGAAATACATTGGTCACTATGCACTATAACGGTTTCGTGTTTATTGATGAAAATATCAGTTTTTCATTCAACGAAACAGATACGGTGATGTTCAAACTTCACCGAAGTTCTGATATCCGTCATCTAAAAGATAGAATTGAAAAAAAAGTGAATCGTCTAGTTCAGGATATTACTTACCGTCAACCATTACCTAATGGGGTAGATGGTGGTGTGTTCTACGTAATGATGCAGATAGACACAGACAACACAGTCAAATCAATGTTTCAATGTCATTACACAATGCCCCAGTTGAAGACGATTGAAATATATGTTCGCCTTGAAGACGAGGCATATCCAACACAATCATCATATTCGCATCAATACGAAGTGAGCCAAATAAATGATGAAGAAATAACGCAAAATAATGAACCTTTCATCCGGAACGAGGAGGTTGGTGAATACAGTGACGATGAGCTCGATGATATTCACTTTGAAGATCTATTCGGTGATGACGATGACGAGGGTCACGATGAACTCATGCAGTCATAGGTAATATATGCTCAACCCATAAATCTGTACAATCCACCAGTGCATATGTCAAACATATGTATGGAGTCTTCTCAACCCATCTATATATTTGAAAATGAAAAATCAAACCATAATGGTGAAAAATTGGAAGTAGGTTTGGTGTTTGAAAATAAGGAAGCGTGTGTTCTTTTTTTACAACATTGGCATATTAGTAACAACCTTGACTATGCAGTATATAAATCTGATTCAGTAAGGTATATAATAAAATGTACGAACCATAATGCGTCTTCAAATGTAGAGCTGTTGTGCATAAAAAAAGCACATTATGGGAGATCGCTACTATAAAGGGATCACACAATTGCACTACAACCTCTATGTCATAGGATCATAGAAAATTAGATTCTGAAATTATTAGCCACAACATCAGAGAACTTGTTAACAGCAACGCTTCACTAAAAGTCAAAGTTATACAAGCCCACATTGCTGAAAAATACGGTTATAGAATCTCATATCGGAAAGCTTGGATTGCAAAGATCAAAGCTGTAGAAGCACTTTATGGGAATTGGGAGACGTCTTACAATGACCTACCACAATGGTTGTTGGTGCTGAAGACATATCTTCCTGGAACTATTATACAGTTGGAAACATTGCCGATTATTACAGAGGACGGAACCCAATTGGGTGACAAGCGGAAATTTTACCGACTTTTTTGGGCATTTGAACCGTGTATTCGTGGTTTTAGTCACTGTAAACCAATCGTGCAAATTGACGGAACCTGGTTGTACGGCAAGTACAAAGGGACTTTGTTGATGGCTGTGGCACAAGATGGAAATGGTAACATTTTCCCGATAGCATTCGCATTGGTTGAAGGAAAGACAAAGGATGACTGGAGTTTCTTTCTCAGGAATTTGAGAATGCATGTGACCCCCCAGGCCAATCTTTGTCTAATATTCGACCGACATCCATCAATCAAGAGTGCTTACGATGATCCTGAAAATGGGTGGCAGTTTCCTCCATCTTCACATGTTTACTGTATCAGACACATTGTGCAAAATTTCATGCGTGAGTTCAGAAACAAAGCACTACGGAAAACAGTTGTCAACATGGGTATGTCTACATCTTCACAAGTTTTACTGATCATTTTTTTTAACCTTTTGTTTTACTGATCATTTTGTTTAAATATTTTCATCTACAGGATATGCACTAACAGAGACAACATTTAACTACTACAGGGGCGAATTACAAAGAACAGATAGAGCAGCTTTGGAGTGGATAGACAATATTCCCAGAGATAAGTGGTCGAGGGCGTTCGACGGAGGACAACGGTGGGGACACATGACCACAAATTTGGCCGAGGCTATGAACTCGGTACTTAAGGCTACCCAAAACCTTCCTATTATAGCATTGGTCAAGTCAACGTACTATCGTCTGGGATCGCTGTTTGGAAAACGAGGAAACGATTGGACAAAACTGTTGGCATCCGGTCAAATTTTCACGAAAAACTGTAACAAGGGAATGGCCAACGAGGCGATTAAATATAGCAGCCATAATGTCATTCAATTTGATCGCGAGAGATTCTGTTTTATGGTTGCCGAAAGCATTAATCAACGCGATGTCCGACCATTAGGTACTTTTAGCGTTGATCTCAGGAGAGGGTGGTGCGATTGTGGGAGGTTTCAGGCATTTCATTTACCTTGCTCTCATGTAATCACAACGTGTGCCAGTATACGACAGGACCATAACATGCACATACCAGATGTTTTCAAGGTTCTAAGTGTATTCAAAATATACAGTCAAAGCTTCCTTGGACTACCACACCAGCAAAACTGGCCAACATATGAAGGATTCACTCTTTGCCATGACGAGACAATGCGAAGAAATAAGAAAGGGCGTCCAAATAGTACAAGAATTACAACTGAAATGGACGATTTTGAGAAAGAAAAAAGATGTGGAATTTGTCGAGAAAACGGTCATATGCGGAGAAAATGTAAGAACGTTGCAGGCCCATCAAATCGGCCCGTCTAAAAATGATGTATTTTTTTCACTCTTAAATATTAATAATATTTTCTTTTTTATGATTTAATGATATGTTTTTTATATAATTATTTAGTTTAAAAATTAATTAGATAATGTAAAAAATATTTACTAATATTAAAAAATAATTTAAAATAATTAAATTATTTATTTATTAATATAAAATATCATTTAACTAATTTTAATATATAAAAAACAATTAATTAGATAATGTAGAAAATATTTACTAATATTAAAAAATTATTTAAAATAATTAAATTATTTATTTATTAATTTACAATATCATTTAAATAATTTTAATATATAAAAAACATTTTAAAACATTTTATAATATATAATTATTTAAGAAATAAAAAAAAAAAAAAAAACCAGCTAGTTAAGGGTCGGCAAATAGATGGTCGAACCCATGCTGGACGAAATTAGCTTTTACAGGGTCGTCCTACCAATGGACGAACCCTTACTAGAAGAGTGGCATATTTGCATTTTTTTTTCAACTTGTAGCATTTTGGTCAATAAATTTTCAGACTGTGGCATATTGGTAAAAAAATCGTAAAAAACTCTAACGGGAGTGTTTTACTCAACTGTCACCTTTTTAAATGAAAAATATCATAATGTTATAGTCAAAAAATTGCAAAACTGCCACATTTTCAATCTGGATTCGTCCAACCAATGGACGACCCAATGAAGACCCAAATCTATAGTTGGGGTTCGGTCATCCAAAGGCCGACCCTATACGTGTTTTTTCTTTTTCTTTTTTTTTTTTTAAATTTTAAAAATAAATATATAATATATATTATTAATTTATGTTTTAAATTTTTTTTATATATTAAAATTTGTTATATGATTTAAAATATTTTTCACATTATGTAATTAATTATTTAACTATTAAGGATTTAATGATTTAAAAATTTAATAATTTAAATATTTTTTTGTAATTAATTATTCAATAAATAATTTAATTAATTTAATGATTTAAATTTGTTATATGATTTAAAATATTAAATATTATTAAATATTGTTAAATATTTTTCATATTATATTATTAAATAATTTAATGGATAAAAACCATTGTATATAATTTAATTAGTTAAATAATTAATTACATAATGTGAAAATATTTAATAATATTAAAAAGTTATTTAAATTAATTAAGTTATTTATTAAATAATATTTTAAATCATATAAAAAAATTTAATATATAAAAAATAATTTAAAACATAAATTCATAATATATATTATATATTTATTTTTAAAATTTAAAAAAAAAAACAAAAAAAATACGTAGTATAAGATGGTTTTTGGATGGCCGAACCCCAACTACATATTTAAGCCTCTATTGGGTTAGTTGAACGAATCCATATTAAAAATGTAGCAGTGTTATAATTTTTTTTTAGTGTGTGACATTATGGTATTTTTTATTTTAAAATGTGCCAGTTATGTAAGAAACTCTATCCGAATAGATAAGTTTGATAAGAATAATAAAAAAAAAGAGAGTAATATATGAAAATGAATAGTACTAATAGTAATGAGAAAAAGTATATATGGTTGATGTAGGAGGGATAGCTAGTGATAGATAGAGTGTGATTTGATATATTGAGGAGATAAGGAATGAATATGCGTGCGTATCTGAGAGGTGAGTGAATGGTGCATGATGCATTATTTATTTATGTACAACAGCAACCTGACACATTAGACTTGATATTTACACCTCACTCACCAATAAACAGCTGGACGATGGCCTTGTTCTTCTAAAATCTTAAGTTAACCATGCATCAATGAATGAACAGTACACGATTGGGTCTCTTATTATTGATTATACTTCTGTTTACAGCAATTTGTTTGCTGTTCGATTGGATCATCACTAATGTTTCGTCCATACGTACCTGCCTATGCCTAATCTCTTTGCTGCCTATGCCTAATTTCTTTGCTCTATCAGATTGTAAGTTTACATTTAGCGCGCTGCTATTTATTGCTTCCGTCTTAAAAACAAAAAAAAAAATGTCTTATTTGTATTTTTTTAATGTCTCAAAATAAATATTTTTTAAAATATTAATATAATATTTATTATTTTTTTCCACTATTATATCTTTATTCATTAATTTTTACATTTATCAATTACTCTATTAACTACAATAAATAAGAGTGTTTTAATAAAAATTATCAATTTTATTATTAAAATTGATATATTTAATTATTTTCTTAAAAACCGCACACAATTTAAATAAATTATTTATTTTGAGACGGAGATAGTAAATTCTCTAAAAAATTTCTTAATGTAACTTGTATTTAAAGATATATATTTGGACGTGTTTTTAGACCCACACGTCAATTTAAGTTACTGTGAGACTTTTATTTTGTTAAAATGTAATTTGAAGATACATCTTCGTATCAATATTAAGATGAATCCGATGATGCATATATGTAAAAGCCTTATTACAATAATCAATAAATTTTTCGAAGAAACATAGCTGACATATGCTTTGTTAAGTTAAACAAAAAACAATTACATAATGTTGGAAAAACAACATAAAATAACATTCAAATACTTAACATTACATATAACCGTTAACATTACATTTCATTACAAACAAGTGGTTTAGGATATTGCAACATCTTTAAAATATCTTCAGTCAATTTTGAAATCTTCATATCCACTTCAATCAGACCCTTTGTCAAGAAACGGTAAAATGTACTTCACATAACACTTAAATCTTCCTACGTCTTTAGTTCAAGCATGATGAATTATATCTACCATTCGTCGTCAATCGAGGGTGAATGATACTCGAGCTTGACAACTCTCTGATTTTCTAGATATCATAGGAGAGTATTTATTTTGAATTTCATATTGACAAGATGCATGTCCTTAGAGATCTTAAATTGAAGTGGTGGATTTTGCGCAATTGAAATCACAAAAGCAAGATGTGGATATGTATTCATTCTACTTTGGTGTTTTTTTTAAAGAACATGGTGTTGGGGTTGGTTGAAAATACAAATGTTGAAGAAGTCTCACATCGCTTAGTTTTGTGAATAAAGAGAGAGTTTAAGGTTATATATAGGATACAAGTTCTTTGAAGTTCCACGTCGCTTAGTTTTGTGAAGGAAGGGGGAGTCCAAGGCTATATATAGGATTCAAATTCTTCATTCCATGTTGCACCAGTCAAAAACACTTTAAATTTGTATTTGACTTTCTTTGTTCTCTTATACTCTTATATTATAGTGTTGTGAGATGTAGTTAAATATTTGCTTTGGATTGTGTGGGTATATTGGGGGTCTGGGTTAACTTATGGTATATTATGTGTTGTAACAATTTTCATATATTGTTATTTGCTAGTTGTTTATTGACAACGACCGTGGTTTTTTCTCCGATTTTGGAGTTTCCACGTTATATTTTTGTGTTGTGATTGTGTTCCTTTTTTTTTCTCTATGCTTTGTTTGTTTTTCCAACAACTGGTATCAGAGCTTTTGGCTCGATTTGGGGATAAGTGTTCTTAGTATGCTTTGTGGTTGTAGTTTTGTTTTATCTTCCACATCAAAAAAGAATGGTAGTGTTGTGAAAGAGTTGTTGAGCTGCAGTGAAAAATTCTGCTGTGCAGTTTGGGCTATAGAATATTGATGGAAGAATTATTTTTTTACTTATGGAAAGTTCAAGTCAAAGTTGTGTTGATACAATCAAGATTACACAAGGTGCAAGATTATGTCGGTAGTTAAAGAGCTTCCTGCCAATATGGAATTTGTACCATAAAGTTTCAACCTGGTTTTAGACATGTGAAAATTCTAGAAGTGGTTTAGCTTCAAGTGAAGTATACTCTTCTTTAGGTGCAGTATGATAATTTTTTTAAAAACTATGATTGTCGGTGAAGACAGTGTGAAATTCTTGGAGTTGTTTAGCTTCAATTGAAATTTATTCTTTATGATAAAATATATGATTGTCGATGATAATAATGTTAAATTCTTGAAGTGGTTTATCTTCAAGTGAAATATATTCATCATGAAAGAGTATGGTAATTTTTAAAACTATGATTGCCGGTGAAGATAATGTGAAAATTCTTGGAATGGTGTATCTTTAATTGACTATACTTTTTATGGAGGAGTATGATTGTCGGTGAATATAATGAAAGCTTATGTATTATTTTCAATCAAAGTGGAAATTATTGGGTTGGTTGAAAATATACATTTTGAAGAAGTCTCACATCGCTTATTTTTGTGAGTGAAGTGATAGTTTAAGGATATATATATATATATAGGATACAGGTACTTTGAAGTCCCACGTCACTAAGTTTTGTGTAGGAAGAAAGAGTCAAAGACTATATATAGGATTCGAGTTCTTCATTCCAAGATGCACCAGTCAAAAGCACTTTAAATTTGTATTTAACTTTCTTTGTTCTCTTATACTCTTGTATCAGAGTGTTGCGAGATGTAGTTAAATCTTTGTTTTTGATGATGTGGGTGTACTGGAGGCATGTGTTAGTTGAGGGTATATTATATGTTATAATAAATTTCACATGGTGTTATTCTCTGTTTGTCTATTGACAACGACTATGACTTTTTCTCCAGTTTTGGAGTTTCCACGTTATGTTCTTGTGTTATGATTGTGTTCCTCTTTTTTCTCTATGATTTGTTTGTTTTTCCAAACACATGGAATGAGATAACCCTATTTATACAAGTTTTAGATTAATTTGAACCTTAAAAAAATTATTCTTTCATCAGAGAATATTTCAGATATACATATTTGAACACACCTTATGTTTTACAAAATAAGAGTGTTTACGAAGATGCACATCCATAAAATGTCATGTTTTATTTTTTTACAATTAAAACAGGGTGTGCCCGGAGATGCATATCCAGACTCACCCATAGGTTCATACAGAACTAGTATATTATGCATAACCACTATATATTTTGCAATGATTTTTTCCTTCCAAAAATTACTCCAAAATTCTATAACATTAAAGTAGAATGCACATTACGTATGTTTCAAATCGTATCGAGAT